ATTAAGCAGAAAGAAAACATGTTGTGTTCTAGTGTGTTATGAGTAATAACATGGATAATCTCAGATTATTTAATTTTTTAAAGCGTAAACTCTCTACTCACAGACATGTGCAGTGTACAGACATAGTTCTCAGTGCCAGTTGATGAACTGCAGTGTGAACTTTGTGGGGTTTGAGGGTTGTGCCCTTGTCTGTACATTCAAATAGGCACAACAATATGCAATTCCTCATTCAAAATATTGTTTGCATAAAGAGTATTTCCAGTATTGAAGCTGTATGCCTCAGAGATCTATCCATGTTCCCATCATTGTGGTTAGATAACTTTTTTCCAACTATGCATTCCAAGCTAGATGTCATGAAGTTTATGGGTATTCACATTCATCTCCTTTTCCTTATGTAAGCAGTGATTCCTGGTATGCATTATCACATCTCTGAGTGCATTGCTCAAATCTTCACTCTTGCTCTAATGCTTTGACAAGAACTACTTAATCCTTTAAATATTCTATGCTTTTAAAATGTATTTCAGTAACAGTAGCTGCTACACTAAGCATCTGGTCTTTTTTAGAGACGAAGCTGAATGATAGGAGGGAAAGGTTGTGGACTGATCATGTAGTCCAGTCACTTTGTAAAAAGAATCATGTAAGATTAAACTTATGTATAGATCATGTCTAAGTTTTGTTTAAAATTATTACAGCTGTGTGTCCCCTAAATGTTTTCTGCATAATACAAAATCAATAGCCATCATATTGTGAGAGAAATGAGTTACTTGTAGAAGATCGTGCAGGTTATTTGCAGGATACAAAAGAAATTGATATCATTGAAATGATTAAATTCAGAAACAAAGAGATTTTAGGTCTATAGTTTCCATCTAGGCCTTTTTACATTTTTAGTTTTAAATGAGAAGCTATTAGAATTCAGCAATTTTTTTCTTCATGCAAACATGTACCTGTCTCATTGGAAACCTCATTTTCTGGGCACTGGGCACAATCAAAGCAGCAGTCTGCTGTTTGTTCTTGATGAATTTTCCTGAATCCAGCAATGCACATCACACTACACATGGAGGTGGGAACCTGAGGTAATATATAAATATATATATCTACATGCATATGTGTCTGTGTATGTGTGTATTTATGTGTAATGCATGTGTACATTGTTATATATATTTATTTATGGGACATTAACAGATATGCCTATATTTATTCCTCTGCTAACCAGCATCACTTATCAATTTCAGTTACTTTATTATTTTCTAATACCCTGAAATGCCCTCAAAGTCTCACAATATTTATTACATCATTTAATATTATATATGTAACATTTAGGTTTTAGCAATTTAAAATTTTTCTTTCTAAACTTATTAAATCAAAAGGAATGTTTATGTGGCAAGATTTATGTATTAAATATTGAGGACATTGAGTGGTGTGGAGAGAGAAGGTAGGATAAATCAAGAAAGAGTTGTCTGATGAATATCAACTAAACATGGCATATAAAACTCTCTTAAATCCAATGAAGTTTTTCTAAATTGAAAAGAAAACCTTGAATCTAAAAAAATATTTCTGTTAATGAATACATGTTGTACTTCTTTAGGATATATTCATGTTCACAAAGAAACAAAAATTTACTTTAAATGTA